TACCACCCCGCTATGTATAGCTCTCATAGGCACGAGCGTACCTTTCCTTTGCCACTTTGCAAGACAAATAGACTTAAAAACAGTTTTTTTATTGCTTCGGCCAGAATAGACAACAGCCACAAATAATGTACAAGTTCCCCCTTACGACGAACTACGTATTTTTTAATAATAAGATGAATTCATGTACATAGTAATTTTTATTTTATATCTGTGAATACGCAATTCAGTTCATGCTGCGAAGTATTTACCAATAAATCTAAACATTTTCTTAAAATGTTATAATATCTCAGTAAACATTTCGAAAAGTGCTTACCTCCAACAAAAGTTTTAAACCTCAGAGGGAATTTCATCGTCATTGGGTAATATTTTGAAAGTACGATTGTCTTCGACCTTATTCAGAACTCTGAGAATGCGCAGTTGAAGTTCCCCCTTGAGCCGGTATCTTTCCCAGTTTCCGTAGTAACTGTCCGAGCGTAGCCGGAACATGTCAATATAATTATTGTGGCACAAGATTTATTTTGACTCTCTTTCTAGGCTTTGATAAGTAAATATGTGATGGATACAGGCGAAGTCAACTCTTCTGGAAAAGTAAAATGGACTTTAAACAACTCAGCCGAACTTCCAAAGAAGGATGCTGGACCGAAATATTCGCGTATTTCGGAGCACTTTCGGCACGTTACACCGGGTGCTTTACAGTGTTCGATGTTTTGCGGCGGAAAACAGTGCAAATATGAAAACCCTGCCAAGTTTAAAAGCGAAGAAATGGCGATTCAAGGACTCTATTCATCGTGGTAAGTTTTAAAAGTTACTAGTTAAGGTGAAAGAACCGAAGGAATTTAATAAGATGTGCTTATTGGTAACGTCTGGTATGGCTGAGAGCAAATTGTAGATCTAGCGGGTTCTTTTTTTATCAGAGTAGGTATGCTAACAGACGAATAAACAAGTGGATGAGAGTTTAGTCACAGTCTGAATATAATGTATGAATAAGTATATTTCTGTCATAAACTGGTAAAATTCGAAGTAGATACAATGTAGCATCTATGAATGAAATATTTATCTGTATGAATTTCTTGCAATCGTCTAGATAAGTTATTTTCCATTGGACAAAGAGTGGAAAATAATCCATGCAGCTCTAGAATACTGTCCCAACTCATTCATTTTGTCATCAGCCTCCCCATGGGGTCGAGCCTTTGATATTCAGAGGCAAATATCGGCCTGCCAACTTTCTTTGAGTCAAAGGAATGGTATTTTCTGAAGAGGACCAGTTCTTATCCAAATTTGCGCAATCTGCTTTTGTTTTTGCTCTGCCGATAATTGTTGTCATAATTTGGTGGCAAGGGTCAGAGTTAAGCATCTAGTGTTTGGTTATGCTGAGTGTGAATACACAGTCTCTTCTCTGAAATTGGCAACTGTATTTTAGTCATAGAGAAGCATTAACTGTACAACATACTCTAAATTCAGAATTAGCCATTATGTCAAGCTGGATTAGTGACAACAGTCTCATTCTCAACGCCAAGAAATGCGAGTCCCTATTATTTAGATGACCCAAGGCTCAACGTTATCAAACGAATGAAGAAGATATTAGTTTCTTGGTAAATGGGATAGTTACAAAGCCAAACATCAGTTACAAGTAGTTACTTGATGACAATCTGAACTTTAGTAAACTGTTACATCATTATGTAAGAAAACAAGCAAACAAATAGCAATCATAAACAGGTTTAAGGCTGTGGAGTACTAAAACAAAACTTTTGTTGTACAAAGCCTATATTCTACCTCATTTTACCTATTGCTCTACTGTATGGATGCATTGTGGCAAAACAGCAGCTGGCAAAACAGCAGCTGGCAAACTCGAAAAGCTAAATGAGTGTGTTATGAGATGTATTTTTAATGACAACATTAGCACCTATGACGAATTACTTGTAAAGGCAAATAAGCCAAGCCTGCAAAATAGAGAGATTCAGGACATGTGTATACTTATATATAAAGTTATCCATGCAACTACACCAACACCTCTTAGTAGTCTCCTGTCACTAAGAAGTAATGAATGTAATCTGCGTGGTAAAATGAAGCTTATTCTACCTAGAGCAAAAACACGTCCAAGTATGGACTCCATACTTTTAGGTACTACAGTCCGAAGATGTGGAACTCCTGGCAGGATGAACTAAGAACTGCTCCTACCATTAGAAATTTTGTTTCAACACTTGTAGTTGTTTTTTGTGCTGTACATAAAATTTTCATTCTTCTTGCTTTCATATCAATATGTTGTTAATATTAATTAGTTGTATATCATCTAATTAATCTTACTTTTGATCTCAATTTCCTGATCGATACATAATATTTTTAGCCAATTTGTTGACTCAATACCTTTATTTCATAGTTAATTTACATATATTATTTTGTTAATTCGACACTATCGGTACATGCTAGGAGCCTAACAAGCTCCAATTGATCAAGTATAAATAAAGTTGTTGTTGTTGTTGTTGTTGTTGTAACATTCAGATGAGTTTGAAGTAGAATTACCCTTCTTTACTCCAAAGTATAGAAATTTTATTTAGAAATCATTCACTCTTAATTTTCAATTTCATGTAGAAGACATTTAATCCCACTGAAACCCTTTTCACAGACTGTAGCTCTCACACTGGAGCTCTCACACTGTAGCTATCACACTGTAGCTCTCACACTGTAGCTCTCACACTGTAGCTCTCACACTGTAGCTATCACACTGTAGCTCTCACACTGTAGCTCTCACACTGTAGCTATCACACTGTAGCTCTCACACTGTAGCTCTCACACTGGAGCTCTCACACTGTAGCTATCACACTGTAGTTCTCACACTGTAGCTCTCATAGTGGTTACTTTTGTATGATTTTTAACTAACTACCATTTGGTGTATACTTTTACAGGGTCACTCCAGACATTTTGGCGACTGCTCGTCCATCTACTGAAGTTATCAGAAGATATGCTGTCATTGAACAGTTTTCAAAGTATAGTGTACATGTTTAACTGTTTTTTAAAGCATCACTTATTTTTTACGTTTTTTATGTCTTTATATGTATCAATAACAAAGTGTTAGAATCTGATTGGCTCCTGACCCAACAGCCTTCAATTCTAGGTCAATTGTATGGTATGGGACCAAACCATTGGATTTGACGATCTGTTTAAATGTTGCAATTAGTCTAGGATTAGACTAGTGGTCCAATCAGGCAGTTCAACAAATAAACCTGAACATAAATAAGAAACTGAAAAGAATGACTGAACTTAATGATAGACTGAGGAGAGATTTCCACTCAGAGAGACAATTTTTATAACAATGTGTTTCTCATTGGGTGTATGCATCTTTTAAAATTTATTTTCTCTCTAAAAAGGGTAGGAATTAAATCACTGATTAACCTTCAGCATCCAGGAGAACATGTCAGTTGTGGCTTTGGTATCGATCCTGTTAGTGGCTTTTCTTATGATCCAGAAGATTTCATGAAAGATGACAGTATGTAGCTCTCACTTATTCAGTTATTGAATTTTATTCTCTTTTGAAACATTTCTGTAGTATCATGATGTGAGCTTTTTCATTAGTTCTAGGTATACAATCCTCCCCCTTGTATAAAGCCTTTTCTATACAAAGGAGACAAAATGAAATGAACATTAAATGTTAAGGTACTCACACATGTGCCACAGGTGCAATCAAGCAAAGAATAGAATATATCACATGATATCAGATCCAATTTTTTTGCCCTGTAAATTTAGGTTAAGTCATGAAAGCTTGAGTAGATAAAAAACAAGATAACACCTTAAATATCTCTCTTTTAAACTTTAAAACTTTAAAGTAGGTGTAATCATTTTTGCAATTTAAAATAACTAACTGTTAACAGTGACTAATTTATTATTTTCTATATGGTTCTCATTTTGAAAACAAGTTTTCTTCTACAATTTCGGATGGTGAGTGTCATCTTTCATACTTTATCAATAATTCATTCACAGATATTTAATACTATATAACAAATATATAAGCTGAATGTATACCAGCAATAGTTGTCACTTTTTTGTAGGAGGCAAGCATTAGGGACTAGACATTTAGGCCATTGTTCACACCTCCTGGCATTTGTTTCATGCATTGTTTATTGATATACTGGGATGGCTGGTCAGAGAAGACTGCTGCAAGTTTACAGCTCCTTGCAAAACTAAGTATAGAAAAAGAATACCAATTTTACATGTAGTCCTTCAGCCTAAAGACTGACTCTAAAAACTCAAAAGTCAGAATGAGATCAGAGTTTTTGGACAAGCCCCACAGACATTTTGCAAACTTGTGATAAACTCTTATGCGATCTTATTTGTTCCTTTATCACTGTTCACCAGAGTAAATAAATATAAACAGTTTCAAAAACTATGATTGGGAAAGATTGATGTTGAGTTGTGTCTGGAGACCACGGAGAAAAAAAAATGGTGTGCATGCATTCTTGCCTTACACTCTTTCCTAGTACCAGTCCTTCTCTTGCACTGGCCTCCACACACTTTAAAAGCAGCTAGAACAACTGAAAATGGTATTGTAGTTTGCAGTATTACATTTAGCTCTACTCTTTCATTTTGTGTCATTTATCACACTTTGGGTCATAATAACATTGCTCTGTTTCATGGATACAGACTTTCTGGAGTCACCAAATGGTTTTTCATTTATAGGAATGACTATGGTGTTCGATCTCTGGAGTCTATTTTGGACATGGTGAAGGTCATGTCATTTGCTCTTAAGGAAGGAAAGGTGAGTTATTCACCTTAGAGCCTTTGCTTCCAGCTACTGCAAAATGTACCATGAACAGATGAAATGGCATGCATGATTAGTGCCAGTACAGGCATAAATTGGGTAAATTTAGCCCATCATATATAATTATCTTAAATAAGCACTGTGACCCATCTTTTTTACTGTATTTTTTGAAACAGAAATTTGTAGGGAATGTTTAAAAAAGAGTCTTAAAATAATTGTTTGCTAATTCTTTTCTGCTGAATCACCTTTAAACCCTAACTTGTGTAGAATTGTATTCTGGGAGTAGATAACCAAGCAGCAAGTTTTTGTAGTACCATTGCTATAAAAACCATGAATTCACCAGTGAGTTACCAAATGGTAGGCCATCCGGGGTTTGAGGGCTCTTGTCCATAGTTACCCATGTAAAAGAGATGAGGTATTCATCAATGATCTTAGATTAATTACAGTTGTTTTTCATTGATATTTCAGGTTGCAATTCATTGTCATGCTGGACTGGGTTAGTAAGCATATCTTTGGACTAATTTGTAAATGTACATGGTGAAGATCACATCTCACTTGTAAATGAATGAGAAGACTCGCATCGTCAGTTACACTAGAACAAAGTCACATGTCCAAATAGTACACAAGTCAAACCTGTTTCTTTATGTTTGTAAACATCACTTATGTTCAGACATTTAGATTCATTACTTATCCCTGAAAGCATTGAATAAAGGCTGATAGTTTCTAAAGAAACTGTTTGGGGCTGCGTCGGTGGGGGTAGCAAAATAATTTCAATATATCAACAAAGTTGAAATGGTAAATTGGCCACCGTTACGATTATAAAAGCTGACATTTCAAGCGTTAGCCCTTAATAATAATAATCATAATGGTGGCCAATTTACCATGATTTCAACTTTGTTGATATATTGAAATTATATCTGAAAGCATTGGTTATGTTTAATAGGGATGGATTTTTAAGGGATTTTCTAATGGTACCAAGCATTCTTCACGGCTGTTGTTTAATCTCATCATGCAATGCACTGTGGGGGGGGGGGGGGGAGAGAGAGCGTGGTGTTACAAGACCAAACAATGACTGTGAAGGAGACTAACCTCACATCATCTCAACTTTAGTTGAAAATATTCATAGAGGCAGAAGCTTTTAGCAACTGGTTCAAATACACACAGTTATAGTGAGCAAGTCCATTTTGTTTGAAAAAATGCTTGCCTTTGGGGAAACAAATAAAAATTAATATAATAACAGAAGTTATGTGAGAATACCAGTTAAAATACAAAGGTGTCCCCAGTAGTGAAGGTTCAGCCTGTTTGTTACAGTATGTAGTATTAGATAATCAATGGAAGTTGTGAAGACTGTCTTTGTGTAGGGGCCAAACATATACATTAATTTTAAGTGGGTCAAAAACAATGGACATGTGTACTGCACATTGAAATAACAAAAACCAAATATTGAAACAAAGGAAGTAGGGCATCTTTTATTTTTGCTGAGGATATTGCCCTTCAAAAAACAACCTGATTCCTCCCTCCATTGTAAAGCCATCTAGCAGAGGTTTATTGAGGTAAGGAAATTTGGAACCATGCACCATCCTAAAATCAATTTACATATTTAATAAAAAAGTTTACATGTCATGAAATAACCATGTATTAAATCTTTTACAGGCAGGACAGGAGTACTTATTGCTTGCTACCTTGTATATTCTGATAGAATTGGAGCAGAGGAGGTGTGTAATATTTGTTCTTTTAAAGACTTAAATTGAATCAACCAAGATGTGAGTGAACACATTTGTTGTTGCATGACCAACAGACCTTTAATTGTGAGGCCTACAGAGGCAAAAATTTATTACATTTATATTTGACTCAGTTTGAGATATTACTAATGAGTAGCCATTTTGAAAACCACAACAATCAATATAAGTATTTTGAAAAATTTTTCAATAATTCTTAGCTAAAATTCAAGTACCAGTACTTAAAGTGACCATTTAAATGTTTCTTTTCATTCAGCTTAGCATAACTTTCTAAAAGTTAAATTCATATACATCTGGGTCTTTTTCTCTGACACAGATCAGAGATCATAGGACAGTTTGTTTTGATAATGATTTGTAGGAGATCAATTTTCCACCTGTAGACATTCAAAATATGGTTATACTGTAGAAATACCTGCTGAGAACATTAAGGTTTTGAAGTGCATTCAATACTTATCAAGATTTAACTAAGATTTTAACAAGGTAAAATTACTCATTTTTGTTGATGGTGTGATTTAATGTTGGAGAGTAAAAACAGGAAAATTTGAAATAATAAGGGAAATCCTTTTAAAGTTAAACAAAATTATATTAATAGCATGTTGTTATTAAGTTAAACCTGAAATCATTGTCTCTTTTCTACAGGCAATTCACAAAGTACGGTCAAACAGGTATAATATATTGAATTCGGTATTGCATGCTAGCTGGTTGTGCCCGTGGGGGACATGATGAAAAACCATAGTTTTGATTGGCTAGCCAAGCGAGTGCCCACTTTGATCCTACACAAGAAAAAATTGCTTGGAGCAAACTCACAAAATTCATAACTTGTTGACAATTTCTAAAAATTGAGTTGCAAAAAACGATAGAAGACAGTCAAAACAAAGAAAACATAAATGATTTTCATGAGTTTATTGTGCTAAAAGAACTGGAAAATAAAAAATTCCAAGAATGAAACAATTTGACATGGCTTTGTCTCACAGAAAACGAGATGAGAAGGAAGTTTCATTTCCGAGCATGAACTGAATTTGTTTTTGAAGAAATTTTTTAAAAATGCAAAGAAAACCTATTGATTCACTTTACTTTTCAATTTTTCAAATGAAGAACAGTTACACACCATCACAGTTGGCTTTTTCTTTAGGTACTTGGAAATTAACAAGTCATTCTTGATTTTTACGCAGTGAAATCTGTTTCTTCAACAAAAATTCATTTATTTTCCAAGCTTGTATGATGAAGATGGCTGGATATTAGCCTTGAATTTGTCTTTGTCAATAAGAAGGCAAATAAAGAACTCAGCAAATATCAAGCCATCTTGACCTCATGCTTGGTCAATTATGCATATATCTTGACTGGTCTTGACTGTTTTTGAGGTATATTTTCTTTCTGGCAAAGGTATATGTCCCATGTGATCACTTACAGCATGAAAAAAGCTATTTTTGAGAGTTGTTATCAATTTTATGGAGAAACATCTTTTAACACTAATTTGATCACAAGTAGTCAGTGGACATTAAATACAACTGTAAGACCCAGATAAAGTTTTCCTATCCCTTGAAATGGAGTTGCCCTTTTTAGTGATAACAGTGTAGGGCAAGCCAAGGATTATCTCAGAGTTTCATGCTTTACCTATTTTGTAGACCCAAAGCTGTGCAGACACGAGGCCAGATACAGTGTGTTATTGACTTCACAAATTTCCTAAACCATCTTTGGGTTATCTTTCCTTGCTGGTAAGGTCAACTCAGAATAATAATAGATTTGGTTTTATCTGGAACTTTTTGTTCAACATTGTTGTAACTTAGGGAGTGCTGTAGATGTTGTTCATGAATTTGGTCTACAACACTCCTTGTTTTTTGCTGGTACAGAAGTGTTCCAAACAACACCTGTTTTCCTCCTTTCCCTGACCTTTTTTTGTTCAGGAGGCCCAACCTTACTGGTTATGGTGGCTATTGTTGTAATTATTATCGTTATTATTACCATCATAATCAATATTTTTGTTGTTGAAATTAATTTCATTATGATTCAACTTTTTGCAAAATTTTAAAAGACCTTTCATCATTTTCGAATGCAGTTCGATGATAACAAACTCGTTTTTGAGGTGCACAAACATATCTGAAAATTAAACAGGACTGTTGGTATTGTCAGGGAACAAATGAACAAGTGTCAAATGCGTAGAAAATAAATAGCATTAAGGTAAGGGTCAAACCACCAATGGGGGATTTTTAGTGTAAATATGGTTGTTTATAATTTGTTCTCTTTAAGTGCTTCCAGTGCAAAGCCATTTACATTACAACAGTACCTCAAACGTCAGAGACTGGTTTTGCATGGTGAGGAGGATAGAGTCCTTAAACATGTCCCAAAGGTTAGAAATGGATGCCTTATCAAATCACCAGCATGAATAAATGAATGAAACTTCATTTAATCTCGGGTTGATAGGGTTGGTTAGACCCCTAGCAAGGAAAGTATGCTATTAAGCCAAGAAAACAAACCTTAATTTACTTTTTTACAGAGTAAATCCTAAAATAACATGACCTGGCTATTTTGCAATAAAAAACCTAATTACTAAATAGATAATGATCAATTACTAAATTAAAACTAATTACTAAATAGATAAATTTAATTACTGACTAGATAATTACTAGAAAGATAATATAGAGAATTAGCTAAAACCTTAGCTGTCGGACTGCTTTTTTAAAGCTTGACAAATTGCTTATGGATCTCAAAGAATCACTGAGAGATATTGTTCCAAGTAATAGATGCCAAGTACTTTACTGAGTTCTTGCCAAAACGAGTCGTATTAGGTTTCGGTACTTGCAGCTTTTTAATCCCTCTCAGGTTTTTGATGTTGACTCTTTACCTAAATAGGTCTCTCAGATATTCAGGTGGATAATTGTTAATTGACTGTTAAAATACAATAATGAACAAGTTCTGGATACGTCGATCCACAAGACCGTAACCAATGCGATCACAGAGAGTGCTGGTTTGTGAAGACTCGCTACTGCACAAGTAACGAAGTGCTCGTTCATGCAACCTATCCTGCTTTTTACTATCAGACTTTAAACAGTGATGCCATATGGAGGAACAGTAATTAAAATGAGACATTCTAAAAGAATTATAAAGGCAGAGTTTGGTCCGAAACGATATGATATTCTTTAGTCTGCAAAGAACATCAAGTTGCTTTCCAACTTTCTTGCTAATTTTGGTGGAAGTTGGAAAGCAACTTGATGTTCTTTGCAGACTTAAAAGAAAATATATACTAAAAGTATAACCTCTAAGCATTAATTAGGTATGTTGAAAGACGAGACTAGTCAATTGGTTTTTCTTCCTAATTTGAATGTTCGTTGAAATTAGTGGGCTAGCTAACCTCAGCCTATATTTCAACTGTTTAGGCGAATTAAAAAATGTTTATCAAAACCCCGTTCTAAACTATCCTCAATTTAGCCGAACCTTTTATCTAAACATTTATTTTTGTACACAGTGTCAAGAGGGCCAAAAGCTAAAAGTGGAAATAACATTTATTTAATTAAATCAACCCTCTTCCACTGCTTGCGTAATGGTTTGGGTTAGACCTCTTGTAAATAACCGACCCTTCGTGTCTATATGCATCGGATCAAATAAAATTAAACTGTAAAAAAGGCTGATGGTTCAATGTTAAGTATATTACCCACTGTTTTAATTGGTTTACGGTCAAGTCGCCCGAAAGTCATCTCGCCCGAAGTCATGTCGCCCGAAACCAGAGTCATGTTGCCCGAAGTTCATAGTCATGTCGCCCGAAATCCTAAATCATGTCGCCCAAAATTTTATTGAGTGTTTAAACTTTAAGAAAAGTAACATCTTAAGTAAATGGCAAGGAAAATATTGTAAAATGTTGACTCGTGAAACTCAGGTTGTTCGTTTCGCTGTCGTTTGATATCACGGAGATAGTAATCCTAAAAATAAAGCACGAAAATGAAAAAAAAAATAGTAATATCAGTTACAGTATGGTTCTCACTGTTGTTGTTTTATATGTAGAAGCATTATGTTTCGAACGAAGGTTCACATCACTACGATTGGAACACCGGAAAACGCCGCCATTCTAAATACAACACGTGCACAAGAATCATTACATGTTCATGGTTGCCAAGCAAGATTGTGACGTTGCGGTAAACTCAAACTAAGAGAATTCATTCATTTATTTGTTTAAGCAGGTTGATTAATTGGCAGCTGTAATAGCTGATGTGGACCTGCTGTCCTAACCCATCCATCCCACCCCAGGGGAGCACATCCATCACACAGTAATCTCGTGAGTGGGAAATTAACGTCTCCTACCCCTAACCCTGCAGGAGACGGGACCTCCATTTATTCGTCCCTATCCGAGAAGACTAGAATATCTGACTATTTCTTGATGTTATAGAAAGGTAGCATATTCTCCTCAATTATTTTAAGACCCTGAGTGTTGGTCCGGCCGGGGCTCGGACCCTCGACCTCCCGCTCAACAGTCCAGCGCTCTATCCAATGAGCTAACCGGGAGGCGGTTAACCGGGAGGAGAACTTGATGTATTTTTCTGATATGTGCGAAAAATTCTTATAATTGAAAGTGTTCCGCTTATAATTACAGGAATCCATGCTGTAGAATGATCAGTTTAGTTCATAGCAACGAACAACGCTGAAATGAACAGCGATATGTGAGACTTTCTTTAACTTCTTATTTGTATAGGTAATTAGCAGACGAAAACATTTTACAAATCGGAATGAGGTGGCTGTTATTAATTTACTCTATTTATGGTAAACCGGATCAAAATTTACAATCGACCGGCTGAGGAAACAAGGAACGACTGAACATGTCGCGATAATTTATGCCGCGTCTGATCCTAAGGGGAATGATGATAACACGCTGTGTTCGCGTGGTTAACAACAAACAACAAAAAACCACTGTAAAAGTTTCAGGTTGTTTTTTATACGATAAATCAAACTAAGAGAACTTGATGTATTTTTCTGATATGTGTGAAAAATTTCGATAACGGAAAGTGTTTCGCTTATAATTACAAGAATTTGTGCTGTAGAATGGTCAGTTTAGTTCATAGCAACGAACAACGCTGAACTGATGAACAGCGATATTTGAGTCTTTCTTTAACTTCTCATTTGCTTAGGTTAGGGGACGAAAACAGTTTTCGAGTCAACATTTCACGAGTTTATTCCTTGCAATTTACCTAAGATATTACTTTTCTTTACTGAAAAGTTTACTGACAGTGTTCCGCTTATAATCTGTACTGTGGAATGAGCAGTTTAGTTCAGAGCAACGAACAACGCTGAAATGAACAGCGGTATTTGAGTGTCTTGTAGGTTAGCGGACCAAAACAGTTTACGAGTTAACATTTTACGAGTTTATTCCTTACGATTTACTTAAGATGTTACTTTTCCTTAAGGTTAAACACTCTCGATAAAAGTTCGGGCGACATGACTCAAAATATCGGGCAATATGACTGAGTTTCGGGCAACATGACTCTGGTTCCGGGCAACATGACTTCGGGCGAGATGACTTTTGGGACTTGAGCGGTTACCGTTTTAATTCACTGATGTTTAAACTCATTCGATTGCTGGACCTCGATTAGCTTAGAACAGGAATCACGCAAATTAAAGAAATGTAGTTATTTGTGTATTTTTTCCTGCAAGGTGGTGTATATATGTTGCAGGCGACTACTAGAATTGGCAGGAGTGAAAAGAGAAGATGCTCCTCTAACCTGGAAATTATCACGGGATGCTAAAGCCGTTTTTGCTGAAGCGGATGATAGTTTCACCACAAGCGACCTTGACAGAGAGACTGTTGAAGATTCCCTTTGTAGTGATGTAGCTGACTCATTGAGGCATAATCCTTACGTAGATTCCAGCCTTCCTTTATTTGAGGGTTCTCGCATATATCGTTCAGAAAGCTGTGATGCATCTGTAGATGATGCTTTTGGTGATGGGGAAGGAAGACAGCTGAGACATCCAGATGTAACAAACCAGAGTAGACGTCGTTCCGACCTAACTGTAGGGCTTCCAGGTGAAGGAAGACCTAAACGTGTGCAACTTAAGCCACTAAATGTGTTAAAAAGACCAAAAGACGAGAAAGGAAAACAAACTAGGCCCAATCAAAGTCTCAAAGCTAAAGATAACGATAGAGAAGGACCAGAAGTCGACACTGACCGTAATTGGTTTAAGGAAAGTGCGACACTGTCAGAAACAGACAGAATACAAGTGGCAAAGTCTATGGCATCTAGTGCCTGTGTTGATAGTACTGTTCATAGTCGAACAGAGAGAATTAAGGTATTTATTATCAAGGTTATCTATAATTAGCATTATAGTGATAGTGACGGACTTACGTCTTCTACAAAAGGCATTGTTGAAATGTTGAAGTAACAGCGAAATGTCGCTTTTACGAAAGCTGTTTGAGAAGCTGAGAACTATGCAAGGGAAAGTACAAAAGATCTGAAACGCGATTCAAATTTCTTCTATTGACCTTTCGTTGAGATGCACCTTTGCAGCACCCCACAGTTCTAGGGAGGGACACGTACCTTTTTTGGGATTGCAATGTGACACCACAACTTCTGCGCGGTGAGACTTACTCGCTAAAGGATTTTGGTAGCGTTTTTTCTTATATTAGTAATAATTTCATAACAAAGATGGAAATTACACGTCTATCGTTACATTTAAAAACAAATTCACAATGTACGCATTAATTAGCATTCTACGGATGTCATTTCCAGAAGTGTTCCTCAAGGTGAATAATCAAACTTCCACTGTTATAATTGACTTTGTCGTTCCCGTATCAAAGAACTAGACAAGTCTCACTAAAGTTTGCAACAGACAATGATAAAGCCAAATCATATTTGGAAATCAGGTGGTTTTCTTAAATAAAGAAAAAAGGGGACATTTTCGACAGCACGACGAGCTGATGGGTATTATAATTATTATCCTAATATTATTAATATTAATGAGATCGTTATTGTTTGCATTATTTTCAGTATTACTATTGTTATTATTATTATTGTTACTATTATTGTTATTGTCATCATTAAGACCAAACACCAATAGAAGAACATGCCTTACGGGATTTTTTGATGAATTGTATTTTTTTTTTCCTTTCTAATGTAGAGGAAACTTAACACCTTCGATTGTTGGGAAGAAGTTCTTACTGAAAGTGACGCGTGGGTTCTTACTCGTCTGTTGTGGGCCTGGTTAGGTAGTTTGGTGGTGAGTATTTCTATGAATCCTGAGTTTGTTCCATAAGGTCCTGGTTTAAAAGCGTAATGCATAATCATAGTACGGTGTGATCATCAAATTGGACTGGTACTTGTTGAATGAAAACAATTGTTTCATTTATCAATGGGGTCAAATGTTTTAATTTCCTTTGTAGAAGCAATAACTGCAGCTTATTTATTGTTTTATACAGGAACCTGTCTTGACTGAGAAAGAGGTGTCACTACTAGAACAAAACGATGATCCCATAGAAGCACTGAAGAGACTTGACCGGGTTAGAGCTAAGTCGCCAGGCTTCATTTACTTTGACTGCCGCCTGTTCCATTTTGACAGACGTAGAGGAGAGTCTGGTTACAGAAACCGTAATTAACCATTAATTTCTGTAGACGCCATCAAAAAGTGTACATAAAAAGCTTACCACTCACTGTGTATTAAGATGCTAAAGAGTAACGTAACCTTCGAAAATTGTCTTCACAAATACACAAGACTCGCTCTAATACCACCATATTGAAAACGACTCATGAGAACCCTGCAAAAAAAATTTTGTTTGAGTCCACAATGCCTTGTAATACAGCACCTAATTGTTCAATTAGATTCCAAGGGAACGGTAACAAGAAGGGTTCCTTTTGTTTGAGTCCACAATGCCTTGTAATACAGCACCTAATTGTTCAATTAGATTCCAAGGGAACGGTAACAAGAAAGGTTCCTTTTGTTTGAGTCCACAATGCCGTGTAATACAGCACCTAATCGTTCAATTAGATTCCAAGGGAACGGTAACAAGAAGGGTTCCTTTTGTTTGAGTCCACAATGCCTTATAATACAGTACCTAATTGTTCAATTAGATTCCAAGGGAACGGTAACAAGAAGGGTTCCTTTTGTTTGAGTCCACAATACCGTGTAATACAGCACCTAATCGTTCAATTAGATTCCAAGGGAACGGTAACAAGAAGGGTTCCTTTTGTTTGAGTCCACAATGCCTTGTAATACAGCACCTAATTGTTCAATTAGATTCCAAGGGAACGGTAACAAGAAGAGTTCCTCTTCCTTAAGTCACAGTCATAGGCAGGTGGCTAAGGAAGAATCAGCGTCACTGCCTCTTTAATAGAATTTGAAATACGATAGTGGACAACCTTCTAAAGGTTAAGTTACTCTTAGGAATATCATTGTCATAATTTAAGCTATATGTTTCATAATGGTGGAGACAAATTACTGAGGAAAGAGTACCTTTAGAAAGTAAATCTTTTTGCTTTGACGTGCAACTACGGAGTCAAGCGGCTTGCTGAACGCTTTCTGTTGACAGTGCTATTTTTTGGCACTTTCGTGATTTGTTTTTGTTTTTTCATCAAGTTGCTTTTTTATTTTTCAGGGTAAAAGAGACACTTTAGAATGCCTCATTACTACAATATGTAAGGTAGGATGAAAAGCTGCTGAAGGTTACCAAGGTTACCCACAATAGTTGTTAACTCTGTTCTTACCGTGCCCGTGCCAAACAAACGCACACAGTATTTGCCTTTAAGCAATTGCAACTGGAAAACTATTGTTGGGTGACTCAGGTTATCATTAGTGACAAACATTTTCTTATCAAGATACAGATATCTGCATTTGAAAAAAAACCAATGAAGGGGTGAGGAGCCTTTTACGATGTGCGTACATGTTTTCTGGCTCTCGTTTAAGCACGAGCTACAGTGCTTAAACACTGGGGAGATTAACCAACTTGTCTCTACACCAGTACTCCCACCTTCGAAGAAGAACCGACACATTTTCAAAAACCTGTATAAAAACTTGTGATCACAAAAAAATTTTGAATTATACCTTCAGTTGAAAGAACAGTGACATTTCTAACGTAGAAAAACAAATCTGTGTCGAGCGAATACCCCTGAGTGAAATCTACTAAGCAATTCCTCACTGTTTTATATTGGAGATGTGGGCTTATCTTCATTTTTTTTATGCGTGCTGCATGCTGCTTTGGTGCTGAGTGTATTATAATGTGTTAAATTTCGGCGACAGATTAGGGGAGAAAATAGTACCACCCCTAATTTAGTAAGAAACTTTGAATGATGTATTTGTCCAGCTATAATCAGCTTGCAGCCGATGGGATGCTGGCGTTTCTATTAGGTATATTACATGGAGTGTTTGACGGGTGTTTGAAGTTAAGTCATTTGGGAATTAATGTGATCTCCGTTTAACATGAGCAATTTAAATTGTATTTCTATAGTTGCAGCCCTTACCAAGTGAACTTGGTGATCGTGTACTACGTAACACAGCCATGATTCTTACTCACAACAAAGAGTTGTCCTTAACATCAGCAAGTGCTTACTTGTGTAAAGTTCAAGAACATCCTGAAGCAGAACCGTCCCCTAATCAAAGTGCAAACGAGTTACAGAGGCTGGATGGCACTTCAGAATCTGAGATACGTTCAACATCATGCAGAGTTCTTTTTTTCCTAAGACATGTTGTGAATACTCTTAAAAACCTTTAGAAGGGATAATATTATAAAGACAGAAACTTCGTCACTATTTATTGAATTGTTGAACGTGTAATGAGGAATGTCCTTTTTAAAGAAGGAAACCTCGCAATTAATCGCGAGAGTGGACCAACGCTATAGAGGTAAGGATAAAATCGTGCGACACGAGGATGGTTCAGGATAGCTAAGATCTAAACGGATTCAAAACGCCTTATTTGAAAAACCGTTAAGGTAAAATGCACAAACCTTGACGTAGCATGTTCACTGACACAGGGACAAAGGTATCGTTTCCCTCACATATTCCATAAGGTAAATTGCCGTGATACATGCTATTTTAAGAAAAATTGCCTTTATCTCAAGATCTGTTTTGAAAGCTGCGGATCCGTAAGAGCACAAGAATTATTAGGAACTAAAACGACACATTTAGTGAGGTAGAGTGCCCTGGTTAATTAAGGTTATCGCGTGATCAAAGTCGATGTATGCATTTGCAGTTAACTCGTACGATGTATTATTTTAGTATTCTTTATCGAACCTCTGCCAGTGTTCAGCACTGATCGTTGTCACGGTCGTAAAACTAATAAAATGAAACTGCAGACTCGCAATGGAGTAATGTTTTCTCTGATTACGCTTGCTACCATCGTTCGCAGACAGTTTTATAAAACCAATGGCAAGGTTTTCTCTGTTGAACAGAGCAAAATGCCTAATTCAAAAGCATAGCTTTGTAAACAAAAGTACACCATTTGCAAAATATTATTGACGATAGACAATCATAGTAAGTTTTAGTTACCCGTCGAACTCAAATTTAAAGAAGAAAGCGGAGACCGGTGTTTCGTACGACACCAAAGGATAAGAGTTTGTGATCAAAAAATTAAAACCAGACAGAAAGTAAAACAGTCGGAGAACTCAACTTTTCCAACAGTGACATACTTAGCCTTGTATCCCTTCCGGTGAAGGACTGGTATGAGTCGACCAAGTTAGCTTTACAAGAAAGTGCGACTGCATTAATTAGTATTATTGACTTTATTTAGTAATATAATATTATATTACATTATTTAAATACTTTGGGTCAGGGTTAGGAAAAGGCAGTATTTTAGTAAAATGATGTATATGTATACATGTGTGTGTGTGTGTGTGTGTGTGTGTGTGTGTGTGTGTCAAGGGAGGAAAGTTATATGTCTTATTTTGAAAACACCTGCAGTCGTATGAAGTTTATAGAAGTAATAGCGCAGTGGACAATTCAGTTTTTCCCATAAGCTTTCTGTTGTTACCGTAAAGCTACTAGTAAACAAGATAACACAATAGATTGGTACACATGAGGATTACTAATGGACGCGTCATTCAAGTTAATGCTTCATTATTTTTGCACAAACAAATAGTAACTTTACTTGTCGCTCGTAAAATCATGGCACAGATTATGAATATGAAATTGTTCTTCGCGTTTAGCGGTGAAGCCAATGAGTTTTGCTATAAACACATCTTAATGTTGGGNCAGCCCAGGTACGTTAAGCATCAGCTTTAAAATCGAGATTGAAACAAAGATAACACACGCACATACGTGAGCTTTGATGACAAACAAACAATCACCTGAAAAAAAAAAGTTTTACACGAAAAGTCGTCACCGTCATAGAAATTCAAGACTTTACGACGTTCACAAAGTAAAGGTTGGTTTGTTCATTGTGGCCATTTTTTTGTTCCGCCCACCGTATTTTTCTACCGCGTTTTGCAGTGTAATACTGCCGCGTAGTTTACGCGTTCTGTAGCCCGAATGTGGTGAAATAGTGTACTGATTCCAGGTATTCCAAAATTGTTATTGGGGTGTTTGGGGAAATAACTTTCGAGGATCGTGCATCATACGTATCTAATACCGCAGTTCAAAATATATGAACTTCATATATTTCATTGTATCTGATTTATCACTTTCACGGGTTTATTACGAATCAACTTAACGGCCTGCTCCCAGTTGGCTTGTTAGCTCAATTGGTAGAGCGCTGCACTAGTATCGCAGAGGTCAGTGGTTCGAATCCCGTACAGGCCTGATTTTTTTCAGGTCTGATTTTCGCTATTGCTTAAATAGCGCTATCTACTGCGAGGATCGTGCATCATACGTATCTAATACCGCAGTTCAAAATATATGAACTTCATATATTTCATTGTATCTGATTTATCACTTTCACGGGTTTATTACGAATCAACTTAACGGCCTGCTCCCAGTTGGCTTGTTAGCTCAATTGGTAGAGCGCTGCACTAGTATCGCAGAGGTCAGTGGTTCGAATCCCGTACAGGCCTGATTTTTTTCAGGTCTGATTTTCGCTATTGCTTAAATAGCGCTATCTACTGCGAGGATCGTGCATCATACGTATCTAATACCGCAGTTCAAAATATATGAACTTCATATATTTCATTGTATCTGATTTATCACTTTCACGGGTTTATTACGAATCAACTTAACGGCCTGCTCCCAGTTGGCTTGTTAGCTCAATTGGTAGAGCGCTGCACTAGTATCGCAGAGGTCAGTGGTTCGAATCCCGTACAGGCCTGATTTTTTTCAGGTCTGATTTTCGCTATTGCTTAAATAGCGCTATCTACTGCGAGGATCGTGCATCATACGTATCTAATACCGCAGTTCAAAATATATGAACTTCATATATTTCATTGTATCTGATTTATCACTTTCACGGGTTTATTACGAATCAACTTAACGGCCTGCTCCCAGTTGGCTTGTTAGCTCAATTGGTAGAGCGCTGCACTAGTATCGCAGAGGTCAGTGGTTCGAATCCCGTACAGGCCTGATTTTTTTCAGGTCTGATTTTCGCTATTGCTTAAATAGCGCTATCTACTGCGAGGATCGTGCATCATACGTATCTAATACCGCAGTTCAAAATATATGAACTTCATATATTTCATTGTATCTGATTTATCACTTTCACGGGTTTATTACGAATCAACTTAACGGCCTGCTCCCAGTTGGCTTGTTAGCTCAATTGGTAGAGCGCTGCACTAGTATCGCAGAGGTCAGTGGTTCGAATCCCGTACAGGCCTGATTTTTTTCAGGTCTGATTTTCGCTATTGCTTAAATAGCGCTATCTACTGCGAGGATCGTGCATCATACGTATCTAATACCGCAGTTCAAAATATATGAACTTCATATATTTCATTGTATCTGATTTATCACTTTCACGGGTTTATTACGAATCAACTTAACGGCCTGCTCCCAGTTGGCTTGTTAGCTCAATTGGTAGAGCGCTGCACTAGTATCGCAGAGGTCAGTGGTTCGAATCCCGTACAGGCCTGATTTTTTCCAGGTCTGATTTTCGCTATTGCTTAAATAGCGCTATCTACTGCGAGGATCGTGCATCATACGTATCTAATACCGCAGCTCAAAATATATGAACTTCATATATTTCATGGTATTAGATACGTATGATGCACGATCCTCGCAGCAGAGAGCGCTAGTTATCGCAGAGGTCAGTGGTTCGAATCCCGTACGAGCCTGATTTTTTTCAGGTCTGATTTTCGCTATTGCATAAATAGCGCTCTCTACTACTCGATGTCTGTTGTCCTTACGCGTAATAGTAGCTTGGTATATGACAGCTTGTTGGAGGCAGTTTCCGTCTAGAGGGCATGAGTTTTTCTGTCGGCAGTTACATTTCTTGTCGTTGTTTGCGGTAGAGGTGTCGGTTGTGGTGGTGGCGTTAGTCTTTACGTGGGAGGTGAGGATTCTTTTGTTGTGGTTGTCGATGATTTGATGATTTATATATACTGCAGACAGTACCGTTTCGGCCTTCTGAGCCTCATCAGTGCAGTGCTGATGCTAGAATGGGGTAGAACCGATATGGTTACCCCGAACGATCCCACATTTGTGGTATCGTCTAAGCCATGCCAGGGTGCTCAAACAAGGAAAGCCTAGTGAGCTATGCGCATATATATAATCTTTTCTTGTGGTGAATGGATCTCAAAGAGCGCTCAACTCTTGGAGGAGCAATTGTATACTATTTGAAACCAGTTCAAGACATCAGGAGTGATTCATTGTTTTATTGCTACAGTCCTGTTTCGTATGGCCAAAGGTTGGCCACACTCATCAGGCAACATCATCGTTGCATACTACAAGCTTACTACATGAATTATAACTATTTCAATTTATCTATTTTAGTCACTATAACACGTTTCGCTGTTATCTATTCTATTTTTATACTATATTATTAAGTCATGACATGTTTACTGTTGACACGAATTTTAAATTTGAATATTGCTCATGTAATTAGTATGCTCCTGAGGAAGACCGAGACAGTCGAAACGTCGAGCTAATAAACCAACAAAGCTACATTGGAGTTGGCCTCTTGACCATCACATTTCTGCTTATATATATATATATATATAAAATATACTAAATATATATATAAAAATTATACTAAATATATAGATATATATATATATATATATATATATATATCTATTTAGTATAATTTCAGAGCTGAGCAAAGAGTTTCCAGCAATCTGATTGGTCGAGCGGCTCCTTATATGACGCTATATAAACCGCTCCACGCGGTTTATATAAAATGTTAAAGTAAAATGTAATAAATGTTACTAAAATGTTATGATTTTAGAAATTTCTCTGTTGTTCAGCTCTGAAATTGTACTAAAACAATTATTCGCCTCAGGTTCGGTAAATATTGTCGAATAATCCCCTCGACTCCGTCTCGGGGATTATTCGACGATATTCACCTCGCCTTCGGCGAATAATTGTTAAATATAAACTGCCAGTGGGAGACAAACCATTCCTCATAACAATGGCTGCTTTAAATGCGATAGGAAAAGATGCGACCTCAGTGTCAGAATTTCTTTGTTGAATCTAAATAATTTCTCAGCTTTCAGACGGGCAAAGATTACACCATTCACTCTAGACTTTCCTGTGACTCTAAAAATGTGATTTACTTGGCTTCCTGTAAGAAATGTCGCCTGCAATACGTGGGATCTACTACTACCGAATTTAAAGTGAGATTTCGAAATCACAAAACTACTATGCTCACAAACAAAACAACTTGTGAAGTAGCGATACACTTTAACAAAACCCCACACACCCTGGACGATTTTTCGTTCCAATGCATTGATCAGGTTCAGGCCTCTAGTGGCTCTGTAGAGATCGATAAGCTTTTAATCACAAAAGAGGCCTTGTTTTGAGAGCTCCAAAGGACTTGTTTTGGAATTTTGTTACGGTTTAAAGTTGTACAGGCCTCTAGTGGCTCTGTAGAGATCGATAGGCTTTTAATCACAAAAGAGGCTTATTGGAGTGCTCAGTTGTTCTCTTTGGCACCCCATGGTTTGAATAAAAGAAAGGAATTTCATTCGAAAAATAGAATTTGCTATAATTAATTTTCCATCTTATATTAGGCGCTACTAATTGATCGTTCAAAGGCCCTTTTCTTGGATTTTGTCGGCCCTTTAGGTGTGGATTGGACTCAGAGGCCCTGCCAAGGGATCTTATTATGATTAGTATCATTTAAGGGCCCCTCCAGGGATTTTGTTGCTAATTTGCCCTTTCGGGCTCCAAAGGCCTTGTTTTGGGATTTTGTTACGGTTTACAGTTGTAGTAAAAAGTGGGCCTTCCCTTTTTTAATGCTCGCCGCATTGCTTCTTTGCAATTGATTACGCCACTCATATTAACATATTTAGTATTCTTATCTCTTAGTTTTTAGGGTTTGTTTCTTGTATTTTGTCCATTGCTTTCTTTGTAATTAGGTTTTTTGTTTATTAGCACCAGTTCATTAGTCGTTATCTGTAATTACGTAATCATTAGCACTTCGATCCTATTTAATGCTCTTTTTTTATTTCAAAAGTTGTAAATAACTGAAGAAGGTCTCTGACCGAAACGTTTTTTATTAAAATTTTTTCATATTTTTTACGTCAGAAGTTGTCCATCCTCGCAATTTTTTAAACTTTCTACGTTCGAGTTGGCTGTGAGGTTTGGACTGCGAATCTTTATTGATCCTCCTAGCGCGGTGCACCTTTGTTGGCCTGAGAGTTTCATTAACGACTTGCGATATATATGTATATCGCTGGTTTACTCTAGTATATATATATGTTTACTCTAGTATATATATATCTAGTATATCTAGTTTACTCTAGTATATATATATGTTTACTCGCTGGTTTACTCTAGTTTGAGCACTCTGGCATGGCTTAGACGATACCACAAAGGTTGGGTCGTTTGGGGTGACCGTCTCGGTTCTCCCCCATCCTAGCATTAGCACTGCACTGATGAGGCCCAGAAGGCCGAAACAGTACTGTCTGCAGTTAGTTATATATATATATATATATAGTGTGCTCTAGTTTATATATAGTATACTCTAGTATATATATTATATATATTATATATATATACTCTAGTATATATATAGTGTACTCTAGTTTGAGCACTCTGGCATGACTTAGACGATACCACAAAGGTTGGATCGTTTGGGGTGACCATATTGGTTCTCCTCCATCCTAGCATTAGCACTGCACTGATGAGGCCCAGAAGGCCGAAACAGTACTGTCTGCAGTTATATATATATATATATATATATACTATACTAATATTTGTACTTGTATTTTTTAATGCCAGATAGCTGTATTTTTTTCAGGGTCCCTTTGTGCTTAATGGGCTACCCTGTTTAAATAAAGTTTACTTACTTACTGCCCTACAGATCCCCCCGCAGGTCTTTAGTGTTTGAAAGTAGTCGCTAAATCATTTCCATAGTTAAATGGAACCTTGTGAATTCTAGTGCAATGTCTAACAAATTAAAAGTATTTTAAAAACGTCAAGGGGTAATTGAGATTAGATCCTTCTCCTTCTAGAGTGAGAGAGATCCAGTAACTGCTTTACCATCCATAAATTGAAGGAAATTCACAAAATAAGGAAAATACGGCGTAAAGTTCGAATTTCGAGAATTTGTATTTACGAATTTGTTGGTTAGTGACTTTGCATACGTCTAGAATGCTTTACGGTTCTCTAAATTGTATTTGAAGAATGACGTATTTTATCGTGAATTTTGTGGCCTGTTCATCGGAACGTCAGTCGAAGAAGGACGGTTGATGGATGAATACAGTCGGGCTACCTCAGTTTGAACCTGAGGAATAACTCGTGACACAAATCCCAGATGGGGATGACCTTCATGACTCTACAACTGTTTCTTTGTGCTATTTTGTGTGGTGTGTTGCAAAGTTTATTCTCTTCGTGACCCTCGCTTGGTTTCATTGGATGGACTTATATAATTTTTTTATGGATCAATTACTAAACTTGATTGTTGTAAACAGGTGGTTAACTGGAGACTTCAAAACAAATAGAATGGCAGGTACTTTGGGACCAACAGGTGTCATCCAACAGTTTCAGCAACACCACTTCGTCGTATATGACGATTTCAATCTTGCGTCAGTAAGTGGTTTCATCAAATGAGTCTTTCTTGAACCTCGATTTTAATGTCACAAAAATCAATTCTATCGTGAAACGAAAGTTGAAGGGAAAGGTAATACAATTACGCAGACTGTTTGAAACACAGAGTCATGACACGGAAGTATACCTTCATTTTAACAGCTTTCCTCATTGTAAGTACCATAGGGCTATTGGCTTTTGTCACCACACGCCATTTTCATCAGAATCTTGGTTCAGTTCAAGGACGGAAACGCGCTGTGTACTTGTTCTCAAACGTCCACAATGAGACGAAAAGTATAAGTGTGTGCCAAACTCATGAGTGTCACGCAGTCGCTGATTACATAAAGAGTTCCATCGACTCAAAGGTTGATCCATGTGATGACTTTTATACATTTTCTTGTGGTGGATGGATCCGAAGAAATCCAATTCCCAAAAGTTATAATGATTACTCCACATTTACCAAGCTATCTAAAGTTATAGAGGGTGAAATTCGTGGCCTTCTCCAAACGTCAAAAATGTTGCATGACAGTCCCCATAACGAGGCTCTGATGAAAACGAGAGAATTATATCACTCATGCATGGACGTAAATCAAATTGAAAAGCTCGGTCCAATACCAATGCTTGACTTCATTCGAGAGATAGGCTCGTGGAGCATCTGTCATGATGGAAGTTGGAAAAAGTCGTCGTGGGATATTTACAGAGTATTACAGTATATACAGAGTACGTATTATCCTGCATCGGCTTTCTTTTCGGTAGAGGTGACAAATGACCATCTTAATTCCACCAAGCATTTGATAAAGGTAAGTGCTATGAAAAATCGGAATAGTTTAAAGCTAAACTTTACGAATAGAGTACCATGGTAATTTCAGCCATTCTCACGAAATGATCGTGCTTTTAAAAGTAATCTGACTTGCCCATCATTTCCTGTAAATACCTCTAATTACAACACAACAGGTTACTACTTACAACTGCCGAATTACTTTACATCAATATATTTTTGCAAAGCCTGCTAAAAAGGGCGTCCTTGTCTGAGTTAAGTCCTTTGTGTTTCTCACGGTCAAGACTCTCAGGCCGAAGCTAATCCCATATTTTGTCAACCTTCATTATTTGGTTCCATTTACTTACTCTGTTTGACGGTCAATTCCTTACGCGACCAAGTCACCACTCTCGCTCGCCAACGATTGTACTTAAGTATAGTCCAGATGTATGATCTTATCCGTCCGTTTTACTTTCCATGCTTATTTAGCATTGGACTTGCTCTTGCCGCGTGAAAGAATGAAGAGCAGCGTAAAATGCATTCAAGGGGGTATCGGAATACGTTGGAAATATGTGGAAAACATGTGGAACTGCTTCATGTTTTCGGAAAATAAGTAACTCCAAACTAACTTGCCCTCAGAGATGGAGGCTGGGATTCAAGTGGTACGAAATTCAGTTTCACAAAGAATTCCTCTCACCTCTGCAAGTATCTCCCTGAAATACAATTCAATGCAGTACAGCCCAATACTTTATTTAGACACGTGACGTCTAGGAGCTATACAAGCTTAACAACAACAACAACAACAACAACAACTTTATTTGCACCCCTGAATTAAATTAAATTTACATTACAAAAAAGTAATAAAACAAATAAAATAAAGTGCATGGCTGCCCAAAAACTCTTCTGACTCTCTAAGAACACAGCTTCTAGCGAAAAGATTTGAGCTACAGATCCACAAAAACCAGCGTAGAACAAATCGTTCTTTTAACTCAAATTGCTGCGAAAAATAACGTATTTCGAACGATTTAAAAAAGCGTATAAGCGAAGGTCTTGTTGTTGTCGGAAAATATTTCTCTGATTATTCGAAGAGGACATCCGTATTCGGCTTTCGCTGAGGAGATTTTGAGTGATATTTGAATCTACGATTAAAAAAAAATAATTTTATATTGATTATTCATTTCATTTTACCTTGCGCGTTACAGGACTTTTTAGTTCAGGGTGATAATTTATCCACAACTATACATCATCTCTATGCCGGGCACTTGTAGGGGTTTATTCTTTGGAAAATGAGTTCCGAGGCTTGTAGTCGAAACATTAATTAACGACTTATTCTGCATATCTTACTCTGTGGACAGTTAAACGTCATTTTCTGTCAAAGTGGCATTTTATATTAAATGGAAACTTGTTGAGTCTCTAACCAAATCTATTATCTACTTATTTAGATTGATCAGTCAGGTCTGAGTCTTCAACGGGAGATTTACTTTAAACATCCTGAGGTGAGATATTCGGACTTAAACTGTAGAAGGCAATAACCATTTCTTGCCTGCTTCGTATTTCCAGATTGTGGCAAGAAATAACTGTGGTTAACTTGAGGGATGTTTGTTTGTAGATGGTAGACATTTATGTAGAATACATGACGACAGTTGCCACCCTCCTTGGAACAAAATGTAACACAACCGAAAAAATGCGTCAAATCATGGATTTTGAAACAAAACTGGCAAAGGTGAGTATAGGCATCGATTCCTTGGGAAAAATAGTCATCGGTTTGCTTGGTAAGTCGGCATTACTTGAATGACTGAGAAAAAAAATGGTGATCCTTTGTTGAGTAGTTCACACTTAATGAACTCAAAATATTATTGTTACTTATTAAGTTCACGACGTCAGCTGAAGACAAAGCTGAAGGAATTTACAGAAGAATGAACCTCCGCAGCCTCATTCAAATTGTTCCACAGGTATGAAAACTTACTTCCGTTTTGACTCAGCAAATTCAATGAAAAAAGAAAAGAGCCGTCTTTAGTTAAAACCAACCCCCAGCTTTAATCATATACAAGCATCACGTCGCGTTCTGTTGAACTTGATAAACGTTCTTCCCGCTCGAAAGACACGATTCTTCCGAGATAGTCCACATCATCTACATTTGCTGGTACGCTGGCTCTCTCGGTTGTTCATCTTCGGGCTTGCTCGTATAGATTTTTCCAATTTCAAAGTACGCTTTACAAATATATTGTAGATTTGAAATTACATACTTCACCAGTAAACGCAAAACAAGAAAAATATTTACGTGGATTTTCTTATTAAAAGATTTTGTTAATTTTTGATAAAATGTTATATCTTATCGTATGATGTGGTGACTTCTGATGAGGATCGCGAGGCTTCCATTGCAAAGGGGGGGCCTTCAACTGGCGTTAGGTTAGGACACATATTGCATCGTTGAGATTAGTCAATTTTGGACAGACCTGAGTTACGAATTTCAATCCCTTTTGATTTGAAGAGGTGGTTCAAAACCCTTCGACCCTCCTATTTGTGTTTTTTTTTTTTGTTTTATTTTTTGTTTTTTTTTTTATTTTGAATGTTTTGATACTGTGGCCTGTACAAAGGCGTTGGGAGGCTTGTATGTGAAAGGGGATTGTGTGTCGAAAAAAAAAACACTATGCTCTCGATGACTAGGATCGTTTGTTGCACCTGGTTTGTTGTTTAATACACTGAACATGAGATGTTCCTCTCATGAAGAATACAGTTGATATACATCCTTATAAACCACAAAATTGTGCATGAGACAGATGAGAGTACGTTCTTTTAATTTTCAGTGTACTTCAGCACGATAAAGAACTATATGATTTTCATGCAATTTTTCTTTCTGTTTTGTAGTTTCCGTGGCTAGATCACATGCAGGCCATATTTAAAGGAGCAAACGTGACTGAGGCAGATGTTGTGTTGACCACTTCAACATCATATCTCCGGAAAATGGCAACACTTTTGAAGAACACCTCTAAAGAGTGAGTTCTCTATAAGAGACTGTCTGATACTGGGGTTGGAGAGGGAAGGGAGCTTGATGGCGATTTAAGGGGCACACAGTAAGCATTTCACGAGAAAACAAAAATATTTTCCATTATTCCAGGACCTTCAATATCGGTAACGGCGAAACAAAAGTCCTATGTGAAGTTAACAGGCAAAGTATTTCGATGCGATCTATATCGTTGAACACATATTTCCCTCTTTAACATATAATCATTATCAGGCTTTAGTATAATTTCAGAGCTCAGCAAAGAGTTTCCAGCAATCTGATTGGTCGAGCGGTTCCTTATAGGACGCTGTATAAGCCGCTCCACGCGGTTTATATTTAACAATTATTCGCCGAAGGCGAGGTGAATATCGTCAAATAATCCCCGAGACGAAGTCGAGGGGATTATTTAATGGATAATTACTGAGGCATATGGCAATATTTCTCATTATGCCATGTGCCGAAGTAATTATCTATTATAATCATTGATCCCATGAAATCCTATTGTTCTGTGTCTGTGTTGGATCTTCGATTTTAGGGGCCCCTAGTTGTGATAATTGTGATGCTCATTGCTATTGTTCTTTGTTGTGATGAATATATCTTAGATTTAATTGTGCCGAGGCTTGTTATTGTAGCTCGTCGTTATAGTTGTTCAAAACAGTTTTAATGATGGAATTAATTCATGCAAGGCGTGTAACACTGCTAATTTGCATACTTTATAAGCCAGAGAATTCAGTCATTTTACTCATTGCGAATCTGGGTTTAGAAAGAGGATGGATTCGTCTGAAGGCGAAGGATTATTTATTACACAGTGCTCTGCGAAGACAGATATTTCAGCAGAAATCGAAGGGCACTACGCTAATCACCCTCTCATGCGTTCTTGTGCTACACGGTTGTATGATGGTGGTGTTTCAGAACAAATTATCCAAGAAACGACTGGTCATCGGTCTTCCGATGGTGTCAGAGCATATAAATGTACCTCAGCAGCACTCAAAAGGGAAGCAAGCGAAATTTTACTGGGTTATCTTTCAAAAAAGGCTGTAATTGATGTAGAGAAAAAGGACGAAAACGGTGCTGGGGAAAATTATACTGCACGAGAGGTTAAAGTAGTAAGTCCGGAAAAATGTGATCAAAAGGGTAGTAATCAGTCAGTAGTTGTTAGCACTAATTCCACTAGAATTGTTATTTCCTGTAAATAAACTGATGAATATAATACTTATTAATGCAATAGATTGTGCTCCATACTATCAG